TGTTAGCCAGGATGGTCTCGATCTCCTGACCTCGTGATCCGCCCGTCTCGGCCTCCCAAAGTGCTGGGATTACAGGCTTGAGCCACCACGCCCGGCCATGATTCTTTATGTAAGAAGAGGGAATGAAGGATACATATGTACTTGTGTATCTATGAACTATCTCTGAAGATAGACCACGCCTGTAATCCCAGCACTTTGGGAGGCCAAGGGGGAATGATCACTTTGAGGCCAGGAGATCGAGACCAGCCTGGGCAACATAATGAGACCACCATCTCTATATTTTTAAAAAATCTGGCCAGACACAGTGGCTTATACCTGTAATCCCAGCACCTTGGGAGGCCAAGGCAGGTGGACCACTTGAGCCCACGAGTTTGAGACCAGCCTGAGCAACATGGTAAAACCCCACCTCTACTAAAAATACAAAAATTAGCCAGGCGTGGTGGTGCAAACCTGTAGTCTCAGCTACTCGGGAGCCTGAGGCTGGGGAATTACTTAAGCATGGGAAGCAGAGGTTGCAGTGAGCCAAGGTAGTACCTCTGCACAACAGCCTGGGTGACAGAGTGAGACCCTGTCTCAAAAAAAAAAAAAAAAAAAATTTGTGTTCCCTTTTATGGCTGCAGGGTATTCCATTATTCTATTATATGGAATGTATTTACTGTATTTTATTTAACCAGTCTGTTATTCATGGATGCTTAGATTAGCTCCAATGAAAATCATGTTCAGAGTAAATTTGCAATTTTGAACAATTGTATTTGTGGAATAAATGCCTAAAGATAGAAATATTGGGTCAAAAGATATATGCATTTATAATTTTGATAAATTCAGCCAAATGGCTTTTCATGGAGGAGATACCAACTTATATGTTACCTGCACTGCATGAGAGAGGCTGTTTCCCATCCCCTCGCCTCATGCTGTGACTGGCAGATATGTTGACCTCCGGTATAACAGATTAAAAACTGTATCTCAGTATAATTATAATTTTTGTTTTCTCTTACTATGAATGAGGCTAAGTATGTTTGCGTATGTTTGGTTGTCTGAGTCTCTTTTTACGTGAACCTTCTTTATATACTTTGCCCATTTTTTATTGGGGTTATTGATCACTTTAATGATTTGTAAAGAGCCCTTCTCCTATTAGAAAAATGAGCTCTTTGTCATTAGTTGTAAACATTTTCTTTTCTCTGCTCACTGTAACCTCCACCTCCCAGGCTCAGGCGATCCTCCCATCTCAGCCTCCCAAGTAACTGGGACTACAGTTGTGCACCACCACACCTGGCTAATTTTTATATTTTTTGTAGAGGTAGGGTTTCACCATGTTGCCCAGGCTGGTCTCGAACTCCTGGGCCCAAGCGATCCTCCCGCCTTGACTTCCCAAAATGCAGGGATTCTAAGCGTGAGCCACCGTACCTGGCAGTTGTAAATAAATCAATATATATATTTTTCTTTTTTTCTAAGCCTCCCTGAGCAGAGAAATTGTAAATACTTTTAAAAGACAACAAAACCCCAAGTTTGTGGTTTGTCTTTTAACTTTGCTGTATTAATCCATTTTCATACTGCTATACAGACCTGTTTGAGACTGGATAATTTGTAAAGGAAAGAGGTTTAATAGACTCACAGTTCAGCATGGCTGGGGAGGCCTCAGGAAACTTACAATCATGGTGGAAGGCAAAGGGGAAGCAAGGCACCTTCTGCACAAGGTGGCAGGAAGGAGAAGTGCTGAGCGAAGCGGAAAGAGCCCCTTATAAAACCATCACATCTCATGAGAACTAAGTATCACGAGAACAGCATGGGGGAAACCACCCCCATGATTCAGTTACCTCCACCTGATCTCTCCGTTGACACTTGGGGATTATAGGGGTTACATTCAATATGAGATTTGAGTGGGGACACAAAGCCTAACCATATCATTTGCTAATGATTCTTTGCCATGCATACATATTTTAAAGTTGTATATAGTTGAATTTATGAGTTTTTCTGTATATCGTCTGGGTTTTGTGTCATACTTAGGAAGTCTTTAAAAGGAGTGTTTTGGACTTGCCGAGTTTGCTGGATAGCCAGATAGAAATGCCCTTTAGTGGCCGGGCACGGTGGCTCAAGCCTGTAATCCTAGCACTTTGGGAGGCCGAGATGGGCAGATCACGAGGTCAGGAGATCGAGACCATCCTAGCTAACACGGTGAAACCCCGTCTCTACTAAAAAATACAAAAAAAAAACTAGCCGGGCGAGGTGGCAGGCGCCTGTGGTCCCAGCTACTCGGGAGGCTGAGACAGGAGAATGGCGTGAACCCAGGAGGCAGAGCTTGCAGTGAGCCAAGATCCAGCCACTGCACTCCAGCCTGGGCAACAGAGCGAGACTCCATCTCAAAAAAAAAAAAAAGAAATGCCCTTTAGTTGTTAGAAATATGGGGCTGATATTCAGATAAGAAGTCAGGTTTGGCCGGATGTTGTGGCTCAGTCCGTAATCCCAGCATTTTGGGAGGCTGAGGCGGGCGGATCACCTGAGGTCAGGAGTTTGAGATCAGCCGGGCCAATGTGGCGAAACCGTGTCTCTACTAAAAATGCAAAGAAAAAAAAATTAGCTGGGGGTGGTGGTGTGTGCCTGTAATCCCAGCTATTTGGGAGGCTGAGACAAGAGACTTGAACCCAGGAGGTGGAGGTTGCAGTGAGCTGAAATTGTGCTGCTGCACTCCAGCCTGGGGGTGACAGAGCGGGACTCCGTCTAAAAAAAAAAAAGTCAGGCTTGAGGAAGGTTTGAAAGTCCTAGTGGACAGTGAGGACAACTGTGAGAGACACAAGGCAGCATGAGGGAAGGGACAGACTGAACCAAGCTGGGGAGACATTCAGGGTGGAAAAGAAGAGCAGTCCCTTCACTGTGGTTGAGACCTTTTCCCTTTCATCTTTCAGGTCTCATGAATGTGGGTGTAGGTTTGAGCACAGAGTTGGAATTCCTACAAGGGATTCTTGCTGCTGCTATCACCACCCCATCCTCACCTGTGGTTTAAGAGGATGGAGATGGCCGGGAGCAGTGGCTCACGCCTGTAATCCAAGCACTTTGGGAGGCCAAGGCAGGCAGATCACCTGAGGTCAGGAGTTCGAGACCAGCCTGGCCAACATGGTGAAACCCCATCTATACTGAAAATACAAAAATTAGCTGGGCATGGTGGTGTGTGCCTGTAATCCCAGCTATTCGGGAGGCTGAGGCAGGAGAATGGCTTGAGCCCAGGAGGCGAAGGTTGCAGTGATCCAAGATCACACCACTGCACTCCAGCCTGGGTGACTAAGCTAGACTCTGTCTAAAAAAAAAAAAAAGAGAGAGAAGGACAGAAATAAGACAGGCTGCCCACAGGGAGGTCTCCAGATGTCTTCTTCCTTGTTCCTCTCTTGCCATTCTTAGATGATTGGTACCAAGCTCAGGGAAGGCCCACCTTCCGGTGCCTGCCCAGCCCCTTGACCGTCTCAGTCCTTCCCCTCCTTGACCTAGGCTCCAGGCCCTAAGTAGTGGCTCCTCCCCCAAGGGCCCCAGCAGTAACCACTTTGCTGCACTATGTACCCTCCCCAGAGAATCCAAGGATGGAGAGCCAAGCCTGCGATCAGCTGCCCGCACCATGCCCAGGAGGAAGAAAGGCTACTGCGAGTGCTGCCAAGAGGCCTTCGAGGAGCTCCATGTGGTGAGCCCCTTCCCCACTAAGCAGCTGCTCCCAGAGTGCCTTGAGGGATCCTGCTCACTGGGGATGAGTCCTTCTTGTGCAGTCTCCACGCTGCTGTGGCTGTGTCCTCCAGGGCCATAGCATGGGCTGGGAGGTCAGCTTCCATGTCCCCCTCCCCTCAGGCCTCATGTAATGCCCTGTCCTCCTCTCGCCCCCCGGCAGCATCTTCAGAGTGCCCAGCACCAGGGCTTTGCCCTAGAAGCCCATCCATATGCAGAAGTGGACAGGATCATTGCCCAGCTCAGCCACAGCTTTGTAGACATCCCTTTCCAGGCCGGCCTCCCCAGGTGAGTGCCATGCTGGCAGGCATAACTGCGTCTGCACTCCTCTGTTGCCCTCTGGGTGGGAAGAGACCCTCAGGTTGATGGCTGCTGGGACCAGACTGTGATGTTTTCCTCTTTTCTCACCTTCCTTTCCCCTCATCCTCAGTCCTGTTTGTTTTGGGGATGGCCAAAAAAAAATTAAAAGACCTCCATTTGTGGCCTCAGTTGATGAAGACTAGACCCAGACCAGACTGTGGCTCCCTTCCTACCCCACGGGCTTTGATGTGGATGATAAGCAATTCTGGCCAGGGAGCAGGGAGGTAGTTCTCGGGCCTCTCCTAGATAGGCGAAGAGTAAAGTCTTTCTCCCTCTGTAGAAGTCACCACCAGAAGGAAGGACTGCATGGGGTTTGGTGGGAATTCCAGGGCCCTCTGAGCTCCGCTTCCCCTTGCTGCCAACAAGGCAGACCCTCTCCCATCTGGAGCTATGGCTTCACCTCTCACCCCAAATCTCCACCTCAAGCTCAACTCGCACAGCCAGGAACTGCACTGCTTTCTTCAGCTGCCAAAGGGCACAGCCTCCTCTGTGAGGTCATGAAATGGAATAGCCTCTAACGTATTCCTCTGGCCAGCCCCAACCACAGGCCACAGAGCCAAGAGAAGTGCACACAGTGCTAACTGCTGCGGCAGGTTCAGACCCAAACAGGAGAACTTTCACACAGGGCCTCAGAGAAGGCAGCCATCTTGGCACATGAACCGCCAGCTGTGGCGGCTCTCCCTGTGCCCTCAGCCCTGGCCCAGGCCTGCTGTGAAGTTGAAACCTGCAGCTCACTGGGTGTTTCTGTCTCAACAGGTGGTCAGGTTCCCCAGCTTCTGACTGTGGCCCTCTCTGTCCTAAGACTCTGCACCCCCGCCAGCCCTCCCATCCCAGGGCAGCATCTCCCAGGATAAGGAAGGAAGACAGCTGCCAGGTGTCAGGTGTCCCAAAGCAGGATGGGACAGTGAACAGCACGCAGGCACCAGCTGAACATGCAGGGACTGGTGAGGTACCTGAACCTATAGCAAGCTGCCAGGACCTGAGGGGGTTAGTTGATGTGTTTATGGACACCCCAGAGACACCGGTGTCTAGGAACCCTGCTTGCCAGCGCCTGCTGCCTAGCTCTGGTTTTATGGAACTCTCCTCTGGCCTAGACCTGGCACTTGTTGGCCACAAGCGCAAGGTTCAGTTCCCCAGTGGCAATGCTGAGAAGAGAGTGGGGGCCTCTTGGCCACAGGCTTCATTTTTTGTCCCAATAGCACCCAGCCCCTGTGGCACCAGGACAACCAGTGGCAAGCATCTTCCCTGTCTTCCCCTTCCAGGCCATGAGTCCAGGCTCCTCACCTCCCTCCAGCCCTTGTGCCACTCACAGACCTGCCTCTCTCTCCCAGACCCCTTTCCCTGGCAGCCCACAGACAGACTGGGAGAGTTCTGGGCCACACAGCCCCACTGGCGAGAGGAAGGATGGCCCCCCGGGCCTGAGGATTCTGAGTGTGCAACCCCTGGCCCTGTATGCCAGGAGGCTGGCCAGCTCCCCAGCTGCCCCACAGCTCCAGGCTGGCCATCAGCCCCCCTGCACTCAGCTACCAGTGTGCAGCCCTCAGGAGCACCTGCAGAGAGCAGGTCTACCTCCCTCCTGCAGCCCCTGCCAGCCAGTGCAGGAGCCAGCTGTTCCTGATGCCTCTGGGCCCCCCAGCCTCTCCAGGTGCCCTGTCGCCCTGTCTCCCAGCCCTGGTCCCAACCCCAGCCCCAGCCCCAGCCCCATGCCGGCAGAGAGCTGCTCCTATGAGTCCCCAAGGTGCTTGGCTCTTCACGGAGGCAGGCAGCTCCAGATTGAAGGGCCACAGATACAATTTATTCCCCTGCTGCGTGCTGCACACCCGGCCAGGGCTGACCAGGACGCAGGAGGGGCAGAGCCCCAGGACTTCCCCAAAAGAGCCAGAAGGGGGCCCAGGCCTGGCCTTTGAAGTCCAGCAAGCAGCTGTCACGCTCGGCTCCATGGAGCCAACAGAGCCAGCCCTCCCACTGGCCAGGTCTTTGGGAGAGAATCTGGACTGGGGGCTGCCCTCTCCTACCCCCGCGTCCTGCCATATTCCTGACCAGGCAGAGTCCACGGTGGGCTTGCCCAGCTGAGACTGGCCACCCACGCCAGGAGACAGAGGCAAAGTTGGCATGGGGAGGGACCACAAAGGAGCTGGGGCAGCAGGAGTCCTGGCCTGGCTTCCTGGCCCTCCGCAGGCCCTTGCCTCTCTGCGGAGCCACGGGTTAGCTGTTGGTGTGCTCCACCCCCAAGCCCGACCTCCTTTCCCACGAGCATGTGGCCGCTCCTGCTTTCCGAAATGCCTGTGTTTATCCCCTCCCCCAGCCCCCCACGCTCCCGCACACAGTTCCTCAGGAACATATGAAGCAGAGGAGGGGCTCGAGCTGCGCCACTCACAGAGCTCCCTCCCCCAGGCACTTAGTTGGGGCCCAGCACTGACCTTTCCCCTGAGCCCAGGATGTGGCCAGAGCCCCCTCTGGAACCCCTCTTGGCCCTTCTCTGCCTCCTCAGCTTGAGCTGCCTGCCCAGAGTTCGGCTGTTCCGGGGCCAGTGTGTCACCTGCCAACTTCCACATCACCCTCCTCCCTCGGTCCCTCCTCTCCTTCCCCAAGGACCTCCCCCCATTTCTGGCAGCCAAGCCATTAATCTAGAGACAGAAATGGGTTTGCTATCGATTCTCTGGCCACTTTTTCTTTCATTATAATTTGTACTGTGGTTCTTCTCACCCTTCTCTGTGTCCGTGGGTTTGTCTCTTTAAATGTTGAAGCTCCCGGAAGCCTGGTGCTATTCTGTATCTCCTTTCAAAGGAAGAAGAGGGGACCCAGCTGTGGGTGAGGACTCAAGTTATTAGTTTGGAAATAGAGCAACTTTGTGTACAGCCCACCTTAGAGGTCATGTTACCCGCTTCCTGTTAAATTTTACAATTAATTTTGGTTCAGGAAATGTAAATAAATTTGTTAATAACAAATAGCAAAGAGATGGGGCTGGAATGCCATATGTCAGTCCTTGATCTGCCCTCCAGTGACCCAAGGCAGGGCTGCGGGCCAGGAGCGATGGACAGAATCACTAGATGGTGGGATGGGACCTCCTGCAAGTCACACACATGTGAGTGCCACAACCCTCCTGCCGGCCTTGCCCAAGGGCTAAGGGCTCCAGGGAGCAGGGCTGCCTCTGTCCCTGCCCAGCCTCCTTTACCTAGTCTCATCTGGTCACTTACTTGGCTCTGTTGCCTAGGGAGTGGTTGCCAGCAGAGGACATGCCCCTTCATCCCTCCCAAGAAAACTCCTTTGCCCTGACGGAGATTCCTGCTAAGGGCTCAGTCCTCTTCCCTGAAGCCAGACTGTGGTTTATGTCTGGGTGCTGCTGGGTTCATCCCTTTCCTTTTGTGACATGGAGTTGCCTCATTCCCCATGACACCACCCCTCTGCATGAGGAAGTTTCCCGTCACCCCTGTCTCAGACTTTGATACCTTTACCTGCTGCTCACACAAAGCCCGTGGTGCTGGGTTCGGGTGCCCTCATTGTCAGCTGCCCAGGACCCATTCCCCGAACCTCACATCCGGGTACTCTTGCCTTCCCCTCCTATCTCAATGATCATGACCTTGGACATCTCTGCCAGGCCAAACCCCAAGGCTGGAACGCTCTTCAGCCATTTCTCCATTGCGGCTTCCTGGCTGTAGATTCAGGTTAGAGGTGAACCCAGAATACCTGAGACGTGACCCAGGAAGGATGGGTGCTGCTGGATATGAATGAGGGCCCGCAGTGGCTCCTTGGCGTGAGCACTGCTCAGACTCCTTTCCACTGCAGCCCCCTTTCCACATCCCCCTCCCGCACCAGACGACTTTGATCCAGACCCAGTGGACACTGCTTCATCTTGCAGTCAGTCCCTTTTCAACATGTTTCTGTTTCTTTCTGAAGAGGTGTCCTCCCTCCATAAGTCACGCTGTCTGTCCCTGGCCCTCCAGCCCACCTAGCCAACCACCCTTGTTGGTTTCCTTCTCAGACTTGCCACCTCTCCCTTCTGCCCCAAAATGCCATGCTCCTCTCCTGGAAACCACTTGAGTTGATTCAGTAAATCAACTTCAAATACTTGAAGACTCCCACCTTCTGTTCTCTGGCTCCTTCCTGCAGTCTATACCTACCGCCTCCTCTTCACCTCCTTCCCTTCCACACTTCCTTCCTGGGTAGCTCTGCCTGAAGCATTCCACTAGGATCATCTATTCCAAGGTCATGGACAGGCTACTGATGACCAAAGTTGGTTCCTTTTCTCCTTTCTTTCCTCCTTGAAGCCTGGCTCCCTTGGTCCCAGCAGCCCCTCAGTGGCCTGGTTCTCCTGTCCCCCTGCCCTTCCTCACCATTGCCCATTCCCTCATTCGTTCATTCAGCACAGGCCTTGCCGTCTGCCCCGAGTCAGCTCCGAGACACCTGAAGAGCCCTCCAGCCCTAACTGCTTTCCTCAGACTAGGTCCCGAGGCCTTTGTTGTTGCCTCTTCTTGCTGAGGCTTTCACTTCTAGGCAGATGTGGCCAATTGGTAGCTCCACCCCAACTTCCTTCTGCTGGGTGGAATGCAGGAGCTAGCTGTCCCCAGCTCACACTGTGACCTCAGAAAAATGCCTCTATTACTCGGGCCTCAGTTTCCTCGTCTTTAAGGGGCTCGGATGAGATTATTTCAGGGCCCTTTCCTATAATAAAATACTGTGACCACCAGCAAATCTTTTATGTCCTTCCCTGTCCTGCCACCAGCAGGAATGCTACATACCTGAGAATTCCTCCTCATCCTGGACCTTCGCTCCCCTTCCCAGGGGAGTTTCAGCTGTGCCCAGCTCAAACTGTTTTCTTGATCTAAAAAATGGAGGTAATCTAGGCTGGACACAGTGGCTCACGCCTGTAATCCCAGCACTTTGGGAGGCCGAGGTGGGTGGATCATTTGAGGTCAGGAGTTCGAGACCAGCCTGGCCAACATAGTGAAACCGCATCTCTACTAAAAATACAAAGCTGGGCGTGGTGGTGCGCCTTTCGCTCCGGAGGCTGAGGCAGGAGAATCGCTTGAACTCGGGAGGCAGAGGTTGCAGTGAGCCGAGATTGCACCACTGCACTCCAGCCTGGGCAACAGGGTGAGACTTTGTCTCAAAAATAAATAAATACATAAATACATACATACAAAAAATGGAGGTAATCATAGTTGCTACCTTGCTAGGAAGTCACAAGAATGAAATCAGATATGTTTGTGAGGTATGTGGCACAGAGCTTGGCACACTGTCTCAATAAATAACATATTACCACAGGCACACATGCCTGTGAGGCCTCCTTCTGAAACTTACATAAAGCTTCTTCTCACTAATTCCCACCTGGCAGTGTCCCTTGGTAACTGGCGTCCTCATCTCGGGTGTGCGTTTGTGGATGAAGCTGCTGAGGGACACTGTGAGACCCCCTGTCCCAGGCCCCCTCCCAAGGACCATCTCTCCTCAGCTCCAGGAGGATCCCTTGCATGGAAGAGAAGTGGCAGTTGGGCCCTTATGGGTGTGACTGTGTGCCCTACAAACCTCCCAAAGGATGAGTGTGCCTGGGATCCTGGTGCCCCAGGTGCCCCCAACTCCTCCCTTGGTGAAGCCTGAGAGCTTCAGAGATTAAAAGAGGGGCCACTTGGACACCTGAGAGGGAGGAGCATGAGGTTTCCCAGGAGAGCTATGCAGATGAGAAGAACGGTCCTTGGATCCTGGGCTGGCATCTGAGAGGAAGCAGGATGAACTTCTGTCCAAATGTTGGGCGCTTCCCCTGCTGCCACCCCTCACATCGCGACATCAGGCATAGGTTCTCTCTGCACTGGGTAGAGAGAGGACACCAAGGCCCCCAAGCCGTAGAGAGGCCTGGGGTCCTGGGCAAGGGCCAGGGAGCCGGTTTGCTCCTCGGCACCTTGGACGGTGTGAGCCCTGGGTGACTGAGCCCCTTTCATGCACCAGACGCTGCTCCAAGCACGGGCAGCTCAACCATCATCCCCGAGAGGAGCACTGTGAGTGGGGCTGGTTTTCTAACCCCTGCATCATGGATGAGGAAACCAACGCCCAGAGAGGCCAGCGGGCTTGCTTAAGGTCACACAGCCAGTTCATGGGGGAGGCAGGATTGGGACCCCAGCCCAGAGCCCTGAATCCTGCCCCCTTGACTAGCATGGTCTGTGCTGCAGGCCTTAAGGCTGGGCACCAGGCCTGGACGGCCTCCACTGGCAGGAATCACTGCCCATGGTATCACCCCAGGGCTGGAGGCAACCAGCAGCCCTCCCTTACCTGAAGTTGTGGAGACAAGGTCTTGGCCCTGCATCCCCAACTTGGCCCTTGTGCAGGAAAATTTGAGAGAATCGGCTGAAGGGCTAGAAGAGTGGCAGAAGGAAGGAGGCCCCGGCCTCCTAGGGGAGGGGCTTCCTAAGGGAGGCCAGACCCCAACCTCTCAGGACCCCACAGCTCCCTCAGGAAGAGCAACCCCAAGGGTGGCATCAGGGCAGCAGAAACAGTGGCCCCACCCTCAAGGGATGGGCGTAAGGACTGAAGGAGCCAGCCATAGCTGTGGAGTTGGGGTGGGGCCCCCCAGGGAACCCTGTGTTTGAGGGGGAGACACAGGCCTGCCCCGATCTAAGCAGAAAACAGCCCTTGCTATCAGGATCAGGTCTGATGAGGAAGACAAGCCCTGCTCTTCTGAAGTTCCAGTCTGATGAGGGACCACCAATGAGAAGACAGACGGCCCTGACCTCAGGAAGGAAGGTGGGTGAGAGAACATGAAGCAAGCTTTCTGTGTGGGGAGCCCACGGCTCCTAAGAGAGCTGAGGCAAGCATAAGACAGGGGAGGTGGAACCTCAGGGACTGGGGACTGTGCTCAAGGGAGAGGCAAGAGGTCTAACCAAGGCCGGGTGCCGGGGCTCACAGATGTAATCTAATCCCAGCACTTTGGGAGGCTGAGGCTGTAGGATCACTTGAGTCCAAGAGTTCGAGACTGACCTGGGCAGCATAAAAAGACCCCCATCTCTACAAAAAAAAAATTTGTTAGCCAAGCATTGGCCTCATGCCTGTAATCCCAGCACTTTGGGAGGCTGCGGTGAGTGGGTCTCTTGAGTCCAGGAGTTGAGACCAGCCAGGACAACATGATGAAACCCAATCTCTACAAAAAATACAAAAGTGCTGGGCATGGTGGCTCACACCTGTAATCCCAGCACTTTGGGAGGCCAAAGTGGGCAGATCACTTGAGGTCAGGAGTTCAAGACCAGTCTGGCCAACATGGTGAAACCCCATCTCTACTAAAAATACAAAAATTAGCCAGATGTGGTGGTGCACACCTGTAATACCAGCTACTCGAGAGGCTGAGGCAGGAGAATGCTGGAACCTGGTGGGAGGAGGAGGTTGCAGTGAGCCAAGATCACACCATTGCACTCCAGCCTGGGCAACAGAACAAGACTCCATCTCAAAAACAAAAACAAAAAAGCCAAGCTTGGTGACGCCACCTAGTCCCTGCTATTCGGGAGGCTGAGGCAGGAGATCACTTGAGCCCAAGAGGTCAAGGTTACAGGAAGCTATGATTGTGCCACTAGTTCTCCAGCCTGGGCAACAGAGAGAGACCCTCAAAAAATTAAAAAATAAGGTCTATCGCCTGCAATCCCAGCACTTTGGGAGGCTGAAGCAGGCAGACTGCTTGAGGCCAGGAGTTTGAGAACAGCCTGGCCAACATGGTGAAACCCCATCTCTACTAAATATACAAAAGTTAGTCAGGCATGGTGGTGCACACCTGTAATCCCAGCTACTTGGGAGGCTAAGGCAGGAGAGTCACTTGAACCCAGGAGAAGGAGGTTGCAGTGAGCCGAGATTGTGCCACTGCACTCCAGCCTGAGCAACAGAGTGAGATTCCATCTCAAAAAAAAAAAAAAAAAGGCTGGGTGCAGTGGGCTCACGCCTGTAATCCCAGCACTTTAGGAGGCCGAGGTGAGCAGATCACCTGAGGTCAGGAGTTCGAGACCAGCCTGACCGACATGGAGAAACCCCATCTCTACTAAAAATACAAAATTAACTGGGCATGGTGGCACATGCCTGTAATCCCAGCTACTTGGGAGGCTGAGGCAGGAGAATCGCTCAAACCGGGGAGGTGGAGGTTGCAGTGAGCTGAGATCATGCCATTGCACTCCAGCCTGGGCAACAAGAGCGAAACTCCATCTCAAAAAAGTCTAGGCCAGGCGCGGTGGCTCACACCTGTAATCCTAGCACTTTGGGAGGCAGGCAGATTGCCTGAATTTAGGAGGTTGAGAACAGCCTGCTCAACATGGTGAGATCCCATCTCTACTAAAAATACAAAAAATTAGCCGGGTGTGGTGACACACGCCTGTTGTCCTAGCTACTCAGGAGGCTGAGGCAAGAGAATCACTTGACCCCAGAGATGGAGGTTGAAGTGAGCTGAGATCTCGCCACTTTACTCCAGCCTGGGCGACAGAGCAACACTCTCCAAAAGAAAAAAATATATAGTAAGTTCTGGCCAGGCACGGTGGCTCATGCCTGTAATCCCAGCACTTTGGGAGGCCAAGGCGGGCGGATCACGAGGTCAGGAGATCGAGACCATCCTGGCTAACATGTGAAACCCCGTTGCTACTAAAAATACAAAAAAAAATGAGGCATGGTGGTGGGCACCTGTAGTCCCAGCTACTCAGGAGGCTGAGGCTGGAGAATGGTGTGAACCTGAGAGGCGGAGCTTGCAGTCAGCCGAAATCGCATTACTGCACTCCAGCCTGGGCAACAGAGGGAAACTCCGTCTCAAAACAGAACAAAACAAAAAGTAGTAAATTCTGGCCAGATCTGCTGGGAGTCAGGGAACCCAGGAATATAAGTGGCTACCGGGGCCAGGGAGCCATATGACTTAGTCCCCACTGGAACTAGCCCAGGGTGCCACCAGGGAGAGTCACTCTTAGGGCTCATCAGGTCTCCCCAACATGAAGTCTAGGGTCCCAGGGCCACCAATGTGGTAGGAACATGCCTCTGGTGAAGAGACCTGGACCACAGATTGGGCTTACTCTATGGTCTTGAACATGTCGGAGGATCCAGAATCTCCCAGCCCCGGGCCCCCACTGTGAAATGACAAACCTCACCCAGCCTACTGAGGGGCACTCCTGATCAGGACTTGCTGATGTGGCCCTGGGACATAGGCAGGCTGGAGCAGACAGCCACTTTCGTGTCTGGGGTGTGTGGTGAGGGTGCAAGGGACCAGATATACCAGTCCTCTCTGGTCCCAAATGGAGGGCAGAGGTGGAAGTAGGACTAGGGGTGGCTAAGAGGAGTGAGGCCCTAGAGTAGGGGACATGCCTCTCACTGACCAGCTGTGTGACTTTGGGAAGCTCACATAACCTCTCAGAGCCTCAGTTTCCCCCTCTGTAAAATGGGGAGCACAATCTCTCCCTCGGGACTCGTCATGAGTTTCCAGGAATACCACATAGTAGGCCCTCATTCCCAGGAGCCTCCTCGCGCCTACATCTTGGAGGAGGTTCTCGAGATGTCTGCAAAGCGAAGGAAGTATTGGCTCAGCCTTGCTGAGCATCTGGGTCTGGCATGGCAGGTGGTTGGGGGTGGGGGGAGTCACTTCGTTCCCTGCATTGATGTCAGCGCCTCCTGGGAAATCGCCTTCTCACCTCTCCTGGGCCTAAAATAGAGCGGGGGATGGGGGCATCACAAGCTAGAGGCAGTTCCCTCATCCCCAGCAGAGGCCCTGGGTCCTTGGGGAAGCAGAGGACCCAGGAAGGGGTTCCCTGCCTCCAATCTTGTTCTTCAGTGACTTGTGGTCCCCTAGCATGGGTACAAAAAAGGTTAGAGTGGGGACTTATCAGCTTTCCCACCTGCCATGCCCCACCACACCCCACATCATCTCAGGTACCTGGCCTTCAGCACCCCTAGCAGAAGTCTGAGGTCCCAGCCCTGCTATTGGGACTCATCATTCCCCAGGAGCTGGGTGGAGGGCACAGCTGGGGATGTAGGTTGGGAGGTCCAGTATTTTTGCAAACAGGGCAGCCTAGTCTCACCAGAGAGGGAATGCTGGGCGTCTCCAGAGTTGTCTTCTGCTCCTAAGGATTGGGATTAGCAAGGGAGGGGGAGCCATGGGGCATGCTAGCAGCATGTAAGTGATCTGGCTAGTTTATATTTTATCTAGGGGGAAGGACAGGGCGCCTGTGAGAGACTCAGGAACCCAGACGGAGATGCCAGCCCTTCCTGATGGTTGGAGTGACAGCGATCCCTGAAGCCCTCCTAGAGGCCGGGACATCTTTGGCGGGGAGAAGGAGCCGATGGGAAGGGGTCTGGACCGCGGGCTTGGGAGGACTCCTCAGTGACACGACCCGTAGCGAAGGTGCAAGAAATCCCAGAGGCGCGGAGCCTGGCGTTCGCCAAGAGCCTCTGCCCACCCCAACCCCAGCTTCCACAGCCTAGGGTCAAGTGGGGCGCTCCGGGCTGGGGCTGGGGCAGCCTCTCCAGGGGGTACCACGACCGAAGGGCGAAAGCGGG